CATTTGTTAGATCTCACAAAATTTCAGTTCTTGAAGGAATTGTTTCACCCACACTAGTTCACAAGTGAGAGACGTCACTGCTCTATATTCAGCTTCAGCACTAGACCGGGCCACTACATTTTGTTTATTGCTTTTCCAAGAAATAATGTTGCCTCCAATGAGATCACAATATCCATTAGTGGAGCGTCTGTCCATAGGGAATCCAGCCCAATCAGCATCATAATACCCAGATATTTGGGTACCCCATTATCTTCATACAACAGACCTTGTCTTGGAGCCTTTTCGAGATATTTTAGGATGTGAACGACAGTATTCCAATGATCAGTACGCGGATTTTGCATAAACTGACAACTCCAATGGAAAAAGATAGGTCAAGTCTGGTAATGGTGAGATAAATGAGTTTCCCAACAAGTCTTCTATATCTCTCAGGATCAAAGAACAGTTCACCCTGATCCGCCATTAATTTCTGATTTGGATTCATAGGACTGTTTACTGGTCTACAATCAATCATGTCTGTTTCTTTCAAGATATCTAAAGCATACTTTCTTTGAGAGACTACAATGCCTTCATTTGATTTAGCCACTTCCTTAGTTTGGAAATGATTGCATAAATGTCTCTTTAGCAGAGAAATTTTATCAACATCATCCCCTATAATGACTATATCATCCACATATACAATTAAATAAACACATTTTCCTGAAGCAGTATAATAAAAAAACAGAATGATCTGCTTCACTTTGTTTTAGTCCAAAACTTTGAACAATATGACTAAACTTTCCAAACCAAGCACGTGAAGATTGTTTGAGACCATAGAGAGAACGATGTAACTTACAAACCAAACTAGACTCCCCTGAGCAACAAACTAGGAGGTTGCTCCATGTAAATTTCCTCCTCAAGATCATCATGCAAGAAAACATTCTTGATATCTAACTGATGAAGAGGTCAATGACGGATAGTTGTCATAGCAAAGAAAAGTCGAACAATAGTCATTTTGGCCACAGGAGAAAAAGTATCGTTGTAGTCAAGGCCATAGATCTGAATGTAGACTTTTGCTACTAATCTAGCTTTGAGTCGATCAACTTCACATGTTGGTCCAACTTTAATGACATAGACCCAATAACAACCAACAGTCTTCATCCCAGGTGGAAGAGGAACTAAGTTCCATGTACCATTATGCTCAAGAGCCTGCATTTCATCAATTATGGTTTGTCGTCATCCAGGATGATCAAGTGTCTCTTTTACATTTTTAGGAATAGTAATAGTGGATACAAAAGAAACAAAAGAAAAATAGGAAGGAGACAATTTGTGGTAGCTAAGAAAATTGTAAATAAGATGTGGATTACGAGTAGAGCGAGTACCTTTGCGAATGACAATAGGCCAACTTGAGTCATTATTATCAGGAATCGTGGTATTAGGGGATGATTGAGAAGGATCTGCTGAGGAAGACTCATCTTGGGGCATGAGACTGATCATTTGATTCCTGTGTTGATAGGTAATAAGAGGCAATGATGAGGATTCCGGTGTATTTTGTGTGAAATTTTAGGTGTCAGGAGGAGGAGGTACAAATGGCCCCACTAAGGGTATAGGTAGGACATTTTGGACCGGACCGAACTAATATCCTGCATAGAAGAAGGGAAAGGGAGTTGATTAAAAAAAAATGACATTAGCAGACATATAATACCTCTTGGTTTCAGGAGAATAACATCGATATCCTTTTTGAAGACGAGAATATCCCAAGAAGACACATTTGATAGCTCTAGCTGATAGTTTATCTAAACTTGGAGACATATCATGAACAAAACATACGCAACCAAATACACGAGGAGAAACATGAAAGTGTGACTCCTTTGACAATAGAATAGAGTGTGGAGCTTTATTGTCAAGAGAAGAAGATGACATTCTGTTAATGAGAAAACATGCAGTAAGAATAGCATCTTCCCAATGATGAACAGACATATTTGCACCAAGTAATAAGGTACGAGCAATTTCAACCAAATGTCTATTTTTTCGTTTTGCTATACTATTTTGCTGTGGTGTGTGAGGACAAGTAGACTGGTGTAAAATGCCTTAGGAACTTAGGAGAGTGGAGAAATCAGTAGAAAAGTATTCCTTGGCATTATCACTTCGTAAAACTTTGATTACTTTTCCAAATTGATTTTTGATTTCGTTAAGAAAAGACTTCAAGATAGGTAATAATTCAGAACGATCTTTCATTAGATAAATCCAAGTACACCTAGAAAACTCATCAATGAAGGTAACAAAATATCTATAGCCAAAGGATGAGACACGACTAGGACCCAAAATATCAGAATGAACAAGAGAAAAGACAGAGTCACATCTAGATTCAGAACGTTTAGGAAAAGAGGACCTAGTATGTTTCCCTAGTTGATATGATTCACATTCAAAATCTTGAAGTTCAGGAACCATTTTTTTTAATCTTGACAAGTGAGGGTGCCCTAAACGTTCGTGTAATAGTTTTGGAGATAAGGATGCAACATAGGATACAGATGATTTAGTCTCAAGGTAGTATAAGCCTCCAGATTCATGTCCTTAGCCAATCTATCGACTCGTACTACGTTCCTGTATAACAAAAGAGTTGACATTAAAGGTTACTGAACAATTCAATAATTTGGATAATTGACTTAGGAAAATGAGACTGAAGGGACATGAATGAATAAAAAGAACAAATTTTAAGTTTAAAGACGGAGAAATGGAGACTTGACCAGTTATTTTAGAGGCTACTCTACTTCCGTTGGCTAAGGTTATGAGATCAGGAGTTTTAGGAAATGAGAAAGAAGAAAACAAAGAGGTATTACCAGACATGTGATCAGAAACACTTGAGTCAATAATCCATGGATTTTGACTTTTCACAGATTGTGAAATGCAAGTTGTTGATGAATTTGGGGTTGTTGATGATTGTGTTAGACTACTGGATTTCAACCTCAAATATTCCTTATATTCTTCGTCAGAGAACTTGGGTTCAACCATTTCAGATTTGGAAATATTGATAGCCTTGTCAGGAAAACCGTGCAAAGAGTAGCAATTTTTCAGGGTATGACCCATTCTCTTACAATGAGTGCACTGAGGACGTCCTCTACCTTCATGTCCTCCTCTAGTGCCGCGACTTCCTCTTCCACTAGTAGAAATCATAGCAGAAGATTCAACAAGTTCTTGATTATTTTTTCCTTTGAGAGTTGGAACACGAAGTAGTCTTGTAGTCAAACTTTCCATATAGACGAAACTTCTTGTCCAGTTAAAATTTGATCGCTAACATAATCAAATTCTGAATTCATAGCCCGGAGAGTCATAACCATATAGAATTTATCCAACTTTTGTTTTATCTTCTTTAACGAATCCACCTCTAGGAACATTTTTAATTCTTCAACTGTTGATTAAGTTTCAACAATAAAAGTCATCATATCTTTATCCACTTGCTTGAGAGAGGCTAATCGATTAGCGAAATCATAAAGGCGTTGGATATCATTTGTGAAGATATTTTGAGTCTTTTTCCAGAAAGAGTTACATGTTTTGAAGGATCTGAGAGTGTTCAAAATATTTGGTTCTACTGATTGCCACAATAGAGCACGGAGTTGATAATCAAGTTTTTCCCATTATTGAGCATAATCTTCTGGTATCTTACTTTCGTCTTCTTCTAGATGATCGTGAACCCTTATCCAAGGAACTAAAGTTCCACTGAAGAAGACCAAGACATATAATTTTTTTCCATTTAATTTATCAGCCGTTATAGTGGGAGTTTCAGAAAAGGAGGTTGTGGGCCCTGACAACATGTTTTAAATAATGTAGATGTAAGACAATGGAACCTGTAAGAAGGAGAACATCTAAGATAGAATTAGATAGAGAGGGAAGTATCAATTTTCACCTTGCAAGAAAACTAACGAATGACAACAGCGGACAGCTATAGCGGAACAGAGGCTGGAAGGTCACGGAAGGTGGTCAAAAAGTCATCGTACAGCAGCAAAAAAGTGACCGGACGAGGGACCGGATGATTGCCGGAAAGTTGCCGTAAAGTGGCTGAACGGTGGCCAGAAAGGCAGAGCAGGACCAACCTGCTCTGATACCAAGTTAAGAGAGTGAAACGAGTTAAAAGAAGATTTATAATTTAGTGAGATACGTCACTTCGCTCTATGATCTCATATATATATATATATATATATATATATATAAGATTACAACATTTTAAAAAAAAACCACCAACCACCAACCATCAACTACTAACCACTAACTACTACCAAATAATAATTCTAACATGTTGAAAGTCTCACATCGCCTGCCTCATGTCATTTGGTATGATTTAAATACATGTTAGGTTACTCCACATATGGCCAATTGGTTTTATGTTGGAACCTTAACTTGGTATCAGAGTCAAAACCTAACATATTTCCGGTTATTGTCTTGGGGAGTGGTCCTGCAGGCTTCGTTGGAGAGAGTGTGTTGAAAGTCTCACATCACCTGCCTCATGTCATTTGGTATGGTTTAAATACATGTTAGACTACTCCACATATGACCAATTGGTTTTATGTTGCAACCTTAACAAATTTAATTTTTTATTTTGAATCTGCAGTGTCGTGATTTACTATTAGTATTAATTTTGGGATAAAGAAAAAACAGCAGAGCAAGGAAGCAAAATGATTGAGTTTTCTGTAGTGCATAAGCTTATACTTTTATTGAATGAGACTCATATTTAAACACACTTACATTACAGGATAAAAGATCATGCTCCATTATTTTACGAACTAATACTGATCATGGAAAATAAACTTGGAAACTAGCTTATCCTCTATTCGCAAAATAACATATTTTTATCTTGATTTATTCAAAAATGAAAAATACTTTGACAGCATCTAAAGGCACAATCTCAACAGTTACAGTCTCATTTGAGTAGTGTAATAAAGCTCCCAGACAATGTAAAATAAAAAAACTCAGGGAAGAGGCTTCAAGGAGAGACGCAGAGCATGCAGTAAATGTAAAAATGCCAACAACTAAGCAAATAGAGCCGACAAGGCCTGCAATCCTAGGCAAGACACAATGGCTTTTTCACCTATAGATACTAATTATAATCAAATTAATGAGTGAGTTTAAATCTTAAAGCATATTAGTCATTACCTTTGGTAACTTGTTCTGCTGAGCTAGATGATCCACATGGAGCCTCACATTTGCTGATGCAGGAATCCAGGCACGACGATCAACATCAGAATACACATCTTCTACAATGTCAAACAAAGTTTTTGCTCCACCTTCAATTGCTTTCAGGATATTAGCTTCTCTACTCCTGCGATTCCTGAAAATAATGATAACAATCCACCTAATTGTTGACTCTGACATAAAATATCAAGTTAACTTGTCCAGTCAAGAAAAGGAAGTAATAGATGGTTAGTACTTTAGATATCCACACAGCATCTGTTTTGGCCAGACATTAACTCTCCCATGTATTGGTATTAAAGCATGTGGTGAAAGCTCCAGAAATTTGTACGTGGTTTGGAAGTATTCCTGCAAACGACAATTATGTTGAGCAAAAGCACATCTAAAATGCGGGTATTATGAACTTTATTTTCTTTGTTAGTGTACTTTTTATAGGAATCCAATCCCTACTGAACTCTCCCCATTGAGAAGCCTATCAAAGTCTACACACATAAGCCTAAATGCCAAAGGGCTTAGAACAACCTTGGGTGGGAATTTCTAGTGCAAAGTTAGTCAAACAAATCCTCATTAACATTTTACAAATTCAGAATTTGCGTGGAACACATAAACTTGCTACAACATAAGAGTGAGTGTTTTTCTCCTAGATAATTCTTAGCATAGAATTAGTTTACCTTTCTTGTCTCATCTATGGCTTCCTCAATGGTATCTTCTTCAAGAATGGAGTTATGTGAATCTTGCATTGTGAGAAAAGGTAATGACCGAACAATAGTTAACCTCTAGATTGTCAAATTTCAACTTAAATGCCTACTACAATAGTTGATGATTAAAAAGAATTGCAAGTTTTGATACGAAGTCAAATTTCAATTTACAACCAATTAGTGACAAGTGAAGTGACCCAACAAATATATAAGCTTCACCCCAAGAATCAAGACAGACGATGTGAAATTCTCCCTAACACCCCCCTCAACAAGATATCTATTACAATAGGTGATTCGAGAAGTAACCCAACATATATATATAAGTCTTACCCTGAGAATTAAGGTAGGAGATACCAAACTCTTCCCAACACTCCCCTTAACAAGATGCCTACTACAATAGGTGATAACTAAGGAGAGCTATAGGCTCTGGCATCAAGTCAAATTCCATCTAAAAACTAATTGACGATAAGCAAAATTACTCAACAAATATATAAATTGCACCTCAAGAATTAAGGCAAACAATATGAGACTCTTTTTAATATCCCTTCAATAAAATGTCTACTACAATAGGCAATGACTAAAACGAGTTATAGGTTCTAATATTATGTAAAATTTCAACTTAAAACCAATTGATGATAAGTGAAGTGATCCAACAAATACATAAGTTGCATTTTGAGAATTGAGGTAAGCGACGTGAGATTCTTCCCAACACCTTTCTCGACAAGATGACTATTACAATAGACGATGATTAACAAGAGCTATAAACTCTTATATCATGTTAGATTTCAACCTAAAACAAATTAGCATGACTAATATGAAAAGGTTCAATGCCATGAAAAGCCTAAACACTCTTATAGTGATAACACTTGTATCCCTTTCTACTTGAGGCATAATTGCTAAGTACATTTAATATCCAAAGGTTCAATTTTATATAGTGTTGACTGTAAGAGTTAATAGAAGCAACACGTCAAATGACACAAATTTTAAGACTTGGCATGACAAGAAAAGAGGGAATGAATGACAACATGTTTTATACTAACAAATACCATTCAAAATGCAAGTAGGTATCTTGTTTATCAACTATGGGGTTGTATAGAGAGACTATGGGCCCCACAAAATTGACTTGCATATTTTTAGTCAATGAAGGATCTCAACCCTTACAAATCGAACATCCCAACAATTACACTTTTTCATGCTTCACACAACTTCCCAAGTCAACACCCTCCGGGTGTAGTCATTTCTAGACACATCTGACCAAATTTGATATACCACGATTATCTCAAATATCAGGGTAGAATTGAATAATTTATTGCTGGAATACATCAGTCATATATACAAGATTGGAAAGCTAAATTAGGAAATACAATAACAACACTTAAATAATTAGATTCCTATGAACTAGGGATATTTCCACTCTTTAATTGTAATATTCTAAATAAAGAAGTAATAAAATGAGGTTGTTGACAATCTCTCTCAAGCTGGTGAATATGCATTTTCCATTCCCTGCTTGGAAACCATCCTTTCAAAGATATTGCTATTCAACCCCTTTGTTAAAAGATCTACAAGGTTGTCTTGTGAAGAGATATATGGGGTGCAAATCTGACCACCGTCTAATTTTTCTTTGATAAAATGTTTGTCAACTTCAATGTGTTTAGTTCTATCATGTTGCATTGGAGTATGGGCTATGCTAATAGTAGACTTGTTATTACACTAAAGTCTCATTAGTTCATCGCTCTTTATTCTCAAATCTTCTAAGGTAATCTTCAGCCATAATAGTTTACAGATTCCTTGTACCATTGCTATTTTTTTACTTTTCCAAGTTACAAGATTCCCACCAAGAAGGTGCAATATTGAGTAGTTGATCTCCTATCCACAATCGCCCCTGCATAATCAACATTTATATATATTTCTAGCCTTATATTCCCACTTCGTCTGAACGAAATTCCTTTGCCTGGAGTCCCTTTTGTTGAGAATATTACTTTATTATCTTGTATTTAAATTAGGTATTAAGATATTTTATTATCTTTTAAGAGAGAAGATAAAAAAATATCAGGTTATTATTTTAATTTAGGCAGTTATAATTGAGATATTATTAATATTTTATATTTTGTAATATTTTTATTCTATGTATACATAGAGTACATAAATAAAAAAATATACCCACATGATATATCAGAAATACACATACACAAAACCCTAAAAATTTTCATTAGTGGTATCAAAACTTTGGTTCGATACAATGGAAGGAGAAAGAAACTTTAATCCTATCTTAAGGATTGGATGTATGGGAAGCTGTGGAAGAAGATTATATTGTTGATCCGCTACCTGAAAATCCCACTACAGCTCAAATGAAATTTCACAGAGAAAGAAAAACGAGGAAAATAAAAGCTAAATCATGTCTATTTGCTGGTGTTTCACAAATGATCCTCACCAGAATCATGACGTTAAAGTCACCCAAAAAAAATTGGGATTATTTGAAAGATCAATATGAAGGGGACAAGAAAATTCGAGATATAAAAGTTTTAAACTTGATAAGGAAATTTGAGATACAAAAGATGCAAGAGTCTGAAACAATTAATGAAATACTCAAATAAATTATTGGGTATTGCTAACAAAATAAAATTGTTAAGTAAGAAATTTCCTGATTCCAGAATAGTTGAGAAAATTTTGGTAACTATGCCAGAGAGATCTGAAACATATATTACTTCATTGAAAAATACAAAGAATTTGTCTAATATTACTTTAGCAGAAGTGCTACATGCTTTACAAGCGCAAAAGCAACAAGGATTGATAAAAAAAGATCACGCTGCTGGTGAAGGTTCTTTATATATCATGGTGAAGGTTTTCTCCAAGGCAAGAACAACAAAGGTACCAAATCACAAGTCTTTTCTGTTTGTCCTTATTGCAAGAAAAATAATCGTACACCCAAGAAGTGTTGGTGGAGGCCTGATATGAAATATCGCAAATGTGGTCAATTAGGACATACAGAAAAGACATACAAATCACAACCAGAAAAAGCCGTCCAGGTTATAGAGGATGGAGTAGAAAGGGAACTTCTCCTTGCATCAACATGCTCTATAATCAACAAATTCACAGGTTGGCTTATAGACAGTGGTTGTACAAACCACATAACTCATGATCGAGAATTTTTCAAAGAGCTCAATGAATCACATATTTCTAAAGTGAGAATCCGTAATGGAGAACAAATGGATGTGAAAGGTACGAGAACAATTGCAGTTAAAAGTCATTCGGATATCAAATTAATTTTTGATGTTTTATATGTTTCTGATATTAATCATAATTTGTTAAGTGTTGCTCAATTATTGGAGAAAAGTTATAAGTTGTTTTTTGAACACAAGCTTTGTGTGATTAAAGATACAAATAACTTGGAAATATTCAAAGTTCACATGAAAGGAAAATGTTTAACTATAGATTTGATGAAAGAAAAATTTATTACAAACGAGGATATAAAAGAAAAGTCAAAGAAAAAGCATGAAAAATATTTCTTGAAGGAACTTGATATTAAGGAGGAAAATAAAGATATAAATGAAGAAACTATTTCCAACTTTCATCAAAGAGTCAACGACACTATCATGAAGTTTGAAAGAAACAAAGGAGATGAAGTTGATAAAGGAAGAAATACTTTGATGAAGAAAGTGAAGTTGAATGAAGATGTAATCTCATACAAGAAAGAAGATGACAAGAAGTACAAACAAAAAATGAGAAAAAATTCTAAGCAAAATCAAAGAAAGAATATCAAATTGAAATAAATAGATATTAAAGTAAGGAGAATGTTGAAAATATTACTTTATTATCTTTTATTTAAATTAGGTATTAAGAGATTTTATTATCTTTTAAGAGAGAAGATAAAAAGATATTAGATTATTATTTTGATTTAGGCGAGTTATGATTTAGATATTATTAATATTTGATATTTTATAATATTTTTACTCTATATATACATAGAGTACATGAATACAAAAATATACCCACATGATATATCAGAAATACACATACACAAAATCCTAAAAATTTCCTTCACCTTTTAAGTACTATACAATTCTTCATACAACCTGTAAGTGGATCTCCTTTGGTTGGTGCATGAATTGGCTGACTAGACTCACCACAAATGCAACATCAGGCCACTATGAGACAAATATGAGACAAATATGAATCTACCAACTAATCTTTGGTACATTTCCTTATGAACATCTACATCCTCTTTTGCATTTCCCAACTTCAAATTTGGATCAATCAATGTACTTTGCTAGCTTACCAGTTTCTTTCAATAGGTCAATAATGTATTTCTCTTGGGATATGAAAATTCTCCTTTTCAAATGGGCTAACTCAATTCCAAAAAATACTTCAATTTTCCTAAGTTCTTGATTTCAAATTCCTTGACTAGATGTTAGCTTAGCAGTTGTTGCTCGTCTTCATCATCACCTGTCACTATAATATCATCAACATATGTTACTCGTCACTCCCCCTAACTTAGTGTGTTTGACAAATAGGGTGTGGTCTCTTTGGCTTTGTTTAAAGCCCAAACTTCTCATGACTTTAGTAAACCTTCCACAAACTGTGTTAGTGGTGATTATTTTAGTCCATACACTACCGTTTTCAGGCTACAAACAGTGTTGGCAGCAATTTTCTTATTGTATCTAAGGGGCAATTCCATCTAAATCTCCTCTTCAAGTTCTCCATGGAGGAAGACATTTTTTACATCAAATTGTTGCAAGTTCCAACCATAATTAGCTGTTAGCGATAATATCACCTTGATTGTATTCATTTTTGCAAATGGAGAAAATGTTTCCAAGTAATCCACTCCATAAGTTTGAGTGAATCCCTTGGCTACTAACCTTGTCTTGTACCTTTAAAACGATTCGTCAGCCTTGTATTTATAGTATATACTCATTTGCATCCTACTATTTTTTTTTTTCATTTGGTAGAGTGACCAATTCCCAAGTACTATTCTTTTCTAGTGCCTCCATTTCCAGGTCCATGGCCTGTTTCTAGTTTCTGTTCGCCAATGCCTCAAATAGGGAGGTAGGAGTTGTGGTAGTATTTAGGATTGTAAGGAAGGCTTTATGAGTAGGGAAGAAGTGTTTAAAAGATAGGTAATTGGCTAGAGGGTATCGTGGCTTGGTGGTACATTTTCTAGTCGTTTTCCTAAGAGCAATTGGAATGTCTAGATCCTCATAAGTTAGAGAACTGGACTTGGGTTCCTGTGCAGTTGAGAAATCAGAGATGGATTCGCTAGAGTTTACAAGATTAGAAAAAGTAGTTACCTCATGTAATGTTGGGTTAGATTCATGGACATGGATAGATTTTGGAATGACCTTTGTCTTCCTTGTGTAAACAAGATTTTTTCCAAATCTTACATCATCCTCATCTTGAGTGGGTTCAGTGGGTTGAACCTCTTTCTCTTATTTTGTTTCACTTTTCAGTCCCTACTTCTGGTCCAAGACTGAAGTCAAGAGGCATTAGTGGAGGATCATTTTTCTTTCTTATACTCTCCCCTTGAAGATGACCTAGGTGAAAGTTCCTTTGTTGTTCAAGCAAAGCGACATCTCTAGATACAAAGAATTTATTGGATGGTGGGTAATAACATTTATAGCCCTTTTGTGTGGATGAGTATCCTACAAAGACACATTTTACGGCCCTGAATGTGCAAACCAAAACCCTAGATGACAGCCTTCATTGCTACCACTCATCCTAAAACCCTAGATGGCAACTTTCATTGTTGTTGCTTAGCTCAAAACCCTAATTGACAACTGTTAGGGTATAAGGGAAACGAGAAGTTAGTAAGATAGTTAATATATTAATAATTTAATTAGTTGCATAAGGTATTGTTTAGATATAAATAGGGTGTGAAGGATAGGAGAAGGGAGTGAATATTTTTTTGTAAATTAAGCATTAGCTCTTCGTAAAAGAAAAAATCCTTTGTGAAGGGAAAACCCTTGGAGGGGAGTCTTCTCCTATTTCTTGTTCCTTTCATTCTATTCAATAAAGAAACTTTCTTTTCTTTTTCTGTTTAATTATTGGTTCCTAACAATTGGTCCAACCTACCTGATTCGGAAAAGGGGAAATCATGGAAGGAAGAATTGTTACCTTGAAAAAATGGGCCAACGGGCATGGGAAGATTATCTCGAAAATGCAAGATAATTTTCAAGAAATCAAAGACTTGTTGAAAAATTTCAAGAAAAAATAAAGAAGCTCAGAAAAAGGTGAAAATTCTATGAATAGGGGAAGAAGAGGAGAAAGGATGGTGATTAGTGAGGAATCTGGTTCAAATGGTGGGAAAGAAGAGGTGCAACGTCACTGGATGAAGAGGGTGGAGCTGCCAACTTTTGAAATAAGAGATCCAATTGGTTGGATTGTTAGAGCTAAAAAATTCTTTGAGGTACATGAAATGGATTCTTTTGATAAGCTGCAATATGCATTCATGAGCATTGAGGGTGTGGCAATGTGTTGGTTCTATTATTGGTACCAAGATAACTCGGATTTAGATTGGGAATCTTATTCAACAACTTTGATAAAAAAGATTCAAAGATATGTATTACAATCACATCTTTGAAAGATTGACTACCATGAAGCAAGAAGAGCAAACTGAGATTAAAACATGCAGCAAAATAATGAAGACTTCCACAGTAGTGTATGAAGAGGGTGATCTACATCTGGTTGAGCAAGAAAAAAATAGCATGGAGGGAAACGGGTCAAAATGCATTGCAGCAGACATTAGTTCTTGGACAAGAAAGATGGAACTACCCATATATTCTGGAAGCATAGAAGAGGAATCTGATTCCAAGAGTGGCAGTTTGAGAGTGATGATGAACCTTTTTTATTCTTGAAATCAGAAAATAGAAGTAAAGAAGACTCAGTAATGAAGTATCACACCCTTGATAGTGGAGAAAAAACCAAAAATGGAGAGAATTTATGGAGTCAATGCAGAAGGAAGGTTCAAATGTTGTTATACAAAATCCACCCTCATTTCCACCACCACCCAAGCCACTCGACCTGAATTTGAATGCAGTAGCCACTGGTTCTCATTCCTATACCAAAAAGAGACATCACATGCAAACAAGAAGGGTAAATGAAGATCATGGTAATGAGGATCAACAATGGGATCAAATTTCTACTATACAACCTTGAGGACAAGGTTGATTTTTAGGTGGGGTGTATTGTTAGGATATAAGGGTAACGAGAAGTTAGTAAGATAGTTGAGTTAGTTAGTTGCATAAGGTGTTGTTTAGATATAAATAGGGTGTGAAGGATAGGAGAAGGGAGTGGATATTTTTTGTAAATTGAGCATTAACTCTTTGTAAAAGGAGAAATCCTTTGTGAAGGGGAAAGCCTTGGAGGAGAGTCTTCTCCTATTTCCTGTTCTTTTTATTCTATTCAATAAAGAAACTTTCTTTTCTTTTTCTGTTTAATTCTTGGTTCCTAACAATTGTTAGGGTATATAAGGGGAAGGAGAAGTTAGTAAGATAGTTAGCATATTAATGAGTTAGTTAGTTGCATAAGATGTTGTTTAGATATAAATAGGGTGTGAAGGATAGGAGAAGGGTGTGGAAATTTTTTGTAAATTGAGCATTAGCTCTTTTTAAAAAGAGAAATCTTTTGTGAAGGGGAAACCCTTGGAGGAGAGTCTTCTCCTATTTCTTGGTCTTTTCATTCTATTCAATAAAGAAACTTTCTTTTTTTCTGTTTAAAAAAAAAAAAATTATATCCACTCCCTTCTCCTATCCTTCACACCCTATTGATATCTAAACAACACCTTATGCAACTAACTAATTCATTAATATGCTAACTATCTTACTAACTTCTCCTTCCCCTTATACCCTAACAACAACCTTCATTGTTGACGTACTTGAACCTATTATTCCTTGTACCTTGTTTTACTGATGTCATGGTGGATTCAATTGATACAACAACTAAAATAGGGGATAATAAATCCCAAATTTATGGACAACTTCAAAATCTCAACACTACCTACATATTGAATGGGTAAATTACTTGAAATGTTCTCAGCTTGTTCGTACTACTTTGAAAGGTAAAAGGAAAGCCAACCACTTGACTAATGATGCCCCTAAAGAGGAAGATCCTAAATTTACAAAATGGGAGGAAGAGGACTCTATGATTATGGCGTGGTTGTGGAACTCAATGATTCCAAAATCAGTGATACTTGCATGTTTCTTAATTCTGCAAAGGAGGTTTGGAATGATATAGAGCATACTTACTCCAAAGCTAAAGATGCTACCCAAATATATGACATGAAAGTGAAAATTGTGGCTACAAAACAAGGAAACAAGATTGTTACAGAGTATAACAATCAACTAAAATCATTGTGGATGAAGTTAGACCATTATAGGGTCATAAAAGCCAAGTGTTCAGCTGATTTAGCAATGCTCAAAGAATATATTGAGCAGGATAGAGTCTATGATTTTCTGGTAAGGCTTAACTTTGATTTTGATCAGGTGAGGGTTCAAATCCTTGGAAAAGAAAAAGTTCCCGGAATTAATGAAGTAGTGGCTATGGTTAGAAGTGAAGAAAAGTTGAAGGGGATTAATGCTAGAAACTCTAGTTGTGGAGAACTCAGCATGGTAGCCAATGGGGCCTCAACCAAGATGATAAACTAGAAAATAGGGGGAACAATCAACATTAAGAACAAAGGTGAAGGAGTGTGGTGTGCCTACTACAACAAGCTTCGTCACACTCGTGAAAAATGCTGGAAGTTGCATCAAGGAGGTGGGAAAAAAAGGAGGCAATTCAAGAAAGGGAAGACAGACACACATAACTGCTGGAACCAATGAAGAAAACAAAGGAGAATTGATTCAACTCAATCAGGATGAAATAGAGAAGATGAGATCATTTATCAACAAATTGGATAAGGCAACAGGTACTTGTTCTCTAGCATATTCAGGTACATGTGAAAAGTTTCCTTTTTTGGATTCAATGTCTTAGATATATTTTATAACCAATATTGGATACTAAATTTAGGTGACACTACATGACACCCCTTCCCAAACACTTGTCCTAGCAATAAGAAAATATTCACAGCAGATGGCACTCCCATCACTGTAGTAGGACAAGAAGAAATTCAAATAAACCCATCCATAACCCTTAAAAATGTCATTCATATTCCCATTAAAAGGCTCTTATACCATCTCAAATATTAGGGTAGAATTGAATAATTTTATTGCTGGAATACATCAGTCATATGTACAAGATTGAAAAGGTAAATTAGGAAATACAATAACAAACTTAAATAATTGGATTCCTATGAATAAGGGGATATTTCCACTCTTTAATTGTAATCTTCTAAATAAAGAAGTAATAAAATGGTTGTTGACATTAAGATAAGCCAAGGTCACATTAAGTCGGATCGGACTTTCCAAAAGAACAGCCAACTACTTGATTATTATTGTCAATCAGAATAAGGAAGACAAAGGGTACAAAATGATGATAGCACTTGATACTAAAAGACAGTTTCATCCAAAGGAACTGTGCCATTAAGTTTAGAGATACTTAAGTCAGAAATGCAGGGTAATGGTCTTACTCCTAGTCTTCAACATTCTTCTCGGTGAATCTCAGTCTATAATTTAATAACTAAATAATATGGATTTTCAACATAAGGTCTTTTCGCACTTACAATCATATTTCCACCACCTCTTATATCCAAGATAGCACTTCCCTGACTGAAACAAAGAGAATTAATAATTTAATAGAGTAGAGTAATTATCAAAAGACCTTGAATATGAAGTCGGTCTTTGAAATAATTGTAACTGCAAAGAAGAAATGAGATAGCTTAAACGTTGGATAAAATGACACAAATTCAGCATGCCAACCCATTTCTTTTTTGCATCAAAAGTAGGTAGACAATGTATTCCCTCATTAATTCTTGGCAAGAGGATTTTAGAAAAGGTAAGTACAGCATATTGATCCTCTTAAAACAATCCTATCATATCTGTTTCTCCCTATACCTTTATGTATTTCATAAATTCACTAAGTAGAAAGAAAAGGAGGAACATTTGAAAGTAGATAATATACTCTTTATTAACTACTAAACAGAAAATGAGCTAACTTAAATCATCTCATAAACTCCGAAAGTACCAACTTGTGTAGTATACAAAATTTTGTTTATATTTTTTTAATCTCAAATAATAGACATAATTAGTAATTAGAAAAATTACTGCACAAATAACCTGCGTCACTTCAAAATCATCAATGTAAAAGTAAAATAGTTTACTACAATTTCAATTATCTACAAAACAGAAGTCCACAGTCCAACAAAGACATTGTTCCAAATAATAAGTATTCAAATGCAATGAAAAATTCACAATCATCCAAATATGTGTAAACACAAAACATAAGTCAAATTTGAAACTGTATACGTTCATATACATGATAATTAAAATTTCTTTGCATACGATCTATTATATTGTATGGAATCTTACCCCACACAATGATCACCTACAATCAAGGAATGAGTAGTTGCATGAAGCAGTGCCATATGACCATCTGTATGTCCCTGACCCAAACATAATTTTCAAATTTAGCAGAAAATAGAAGCAACTTTATAGAGAACAAATATTTTTTCACCATACTTATGACTTCAATGCAAACTCAGTTAAGAATTCAAGTAAGATTTAATTTAGCTTGAGATATAGTTTTTTTTTTTTTTGTCAAAATTAATTGCCAAGAGATACTCAAAAGGCTTTTCATTTACAACTGCGGACACTTTGTAAGGATATAGATTTTCAAGGAAAATAAAATGTTTAGTCAGTCTCAAAATACTAAATAGAGGACTAAACAATTTGTTTTCATAACTGTAAATCTTCTATCTCACTAAATGACAAAGTGATGTTGAGAAAGAGTTGGAAGACTCTACCCGATTGGAATTTCATTTTGAATTGCGAAGGAAGGAAAGGGAGTATAAGCATTCATGGACACGAGACCAAATGTTTATCCAAGAGATGAAGACACTACTAGGTAACATGAGTAGTCCAGCAGTTTAGAAATTTATTTTATGCATTATATAGTGTACTTTTATCTTTAATTCCGCACTGGTAGGAATTACTTTTGTATTAGATACATGATATATTATATGTTTATTATCTTAAAGTTAATGCAAATTTATTTCCCGATTTTGCTTATTATATTAGTAATGATTTTTAGAGTCATTACACACGCAAAAAGAAGTGGCTCTAAAGCAGGGAAAAGGTACAGTTTCACTGTTAGAAGAAATTATCCTGATAAAAGTTTAATTTACTTGGATAAACACCTGAATGATTTTTAATGTACATCTCATACAAATCTTTTGTGAAACTTCATAGTCCTACAAGGTAACTTTAAAATAGCGGACATGACATTCTTCCAATCATACGTCTTAAACAAAATTTTCAAATTTCAGGAACATAAAGTCTAGAAAATTGAATCTATTGCAAACCAACTAGGATTATGCAAGTGAAAAGTACCGGTGCATGAATAACTCTCAATCTATGACCACCAATGACAATGTCTTCATCTCCCGCAACTGTGGTATAGCCAAGTGACCAATTATCTGCTATCATGAAATATAAGTTTAACAGATTAGTGAAGTTCCATATTTGATGTCATGGGATAATTTAAAAATCTAAAAGAAAATTTAGAAACTGATCCAAGAACTTTTGTCAAAAAGATTGTTTTTAAACTTTCGACTAACTCTTTCAGAAGCACAAGGAAAAAAACATCATTCTCCTCTAGTTATTTTATTTTCCATTGAAATTGAACAGTTACCTAAGGGTTAAACTCCATATCAGTTGTCATACACACATATATGAATAACAAAGTTAATTGTGAGTTGACTCCAATATGCAACACAAGAATGTCTTAGCAGCGTTATATAAGCACAAAAAATGCATGAAAATGATAGGAAAATAAGGAGAAAGAAATTCACTTACAGTCAATCTGCAACCAAAATTTGGAAGCATATTTAGCACTCATAAGTAATGGAAATTGAGAAGGAAAGAAAAAATTATTAAAATAATATGAACTAAATTTATGTTTGATATGTTCCAAACATATTTAAATGAGTTGTAAATCAATATAAATCATTTTTTTGTAAACGAGTTGGGAATTGATTTCATGATAAAGTCAAATTAAATCCATGTTTTAATGATTCCAAACAAGCTGTTTCAATTCTGATCTTGGGACCTAATTGTAAACCAAAAATGATGCAATCAGCCGTACCGCTTTCCCTCTCTTATCCCGAAAATTCGGTAACAACATTATCTAGACCCTAATTGCATAAAATTTCACCAAGTATACCCTTTAGCATCCCTCACCTAACACACATATATAGCAACAAAAGTGTTAAGTTTCCAACATCTGAAATTTTGTCTATTTTTGTGTCCATCTTCAATGAAATTAAAAATCAAGTTAGGAAAATAATTAAAGTTCTCAGAAGTGATAATGTCAAAACATATTTTTCAATCTCCTTCTCTTCTTTTTTATCTTCCCAAGGAATTTTACATCAATCAACTTGCTCTCACACTCCACAGCAAAAAATAGTATTGCAAAAAAGAAAAATAGACATCTTATTGAGACTGCACGCACTCTAATGTTGAATATCAATGTTCTTGTTCATCATTGGGGAGATGCAATTCTCATTGCTTGTTTTCTGATCAATCGCATGTCATCTTTTTCTTTTCAAAATCAAATTTCTTATTCCCTTATCTTTCTAGATGATCTTCTTTATTATGTTCTCCTCGTGTATTTAATAGTACCTGTTGTGTACATAATGTCTCTCCAGGTCTTGATAAGTTAAGTGCTAAAGTCACTAAATGTGTCTTCTTGGGATACTCTTGCCTCCAAAAAGGGTACAAATATTATTCTCCATCCACCAAAAGGTATTACATGTGTACTGATGTCACCTTCTTTTCTTCCCCTATGAAGGATGGTTCCTCTATTCAAAATGTTCTTCCTATACCCTCATGTGATCCACTTATAACAACAGATCCTTCACCAATTCAACCAACAAGTCTCAATGATTCTCCTCCTCTAAGGTATTGTGTTAGAAGTCCCATATTGTCTGTCTCACGTCATTTGGTATGATTTAAATACATGTTAGGCTACTCCACATATTGTCAATTGGTTTAATGTTAGAACCTTAACAAAAAGCAATATCATCACTGACAATAACAAATCAAGTTGATACCAAAAGTTAGGTTTTGAACCTTTAATGTGACCTTTTTACAAAATTCATATGAAAGTCAAGATTGATAAGTTTTTACTCAAAAAACTAAGGTTTTTATGAAATTTCACAAGATAGATACAAAAAATATCTTACTATCACCATGAATGTATGTACGTACTTTAGTGGACTTTCTATTTTAAATATCTTATTTTCGTTAAATATTTACTCAAATAACCCATGTATCATATTATTTACCCCAATAATAAGCTTTTTATTTTTTGTTTAAAATAAATTAAAATAATTGAAAATGTATATGCTTATGGTTATTTAATTTAATTTATTTAGTAAATGTATAGAATTAAGTAATTAAATGGCCCCTTTGTATTATTTGAATTACATATTTAATTAAAATAATAATTTTTATAGTAGAGAAAATTTTTATTTTTTAATCATGAATAATATTATTTATAACTACATTGATTTTAAATATTTAAAATAGTTAATTTTTTAAATTTTTTTAACAAAATTAAATTTAAAATTAGAAATATATTTTTCTATTAAAAAGTAGCTATGTTTTAAAACATTAAGATATTTCTTTAAATATTTATCTATTTTGAATAAAACATTTAGCTATTTTTAAAACATTAAATATTTAGATATTATTTAAATATTAAATTTAGTTATTTTTATTAAAACATTTATCTATTTTTTAAAATATTAACTACTTAGGTATTTTTCAAACATTAAATAATTAAATATTTTTTAAATATTAAACAATTAGCAATTTTTCAAATATTAACTAGTTTGCCATTTTTTTCTTAAAACATTAAGCTATTTATTTATATATAAAATATTTAGCAATTTTAATATTAAAATAGATATTTTTATTAAAACATTTAGCTATTTTTTATTAAAAAAATTAGCTATGTTTTAATAAAATATATGCTTTTCTAATTTTAAATTGAATTTTGTTCAAAAGATTAAAAATCAACTTTTTTAAATATTTAACATAATGTAATTAGAAATAATATTATTCACGATTAATATATTATAAAAATATTTTATTTTAATTAAATATTGACTGATACAAATGGGTAATTAATTACTTTATTTTATACATTTACTAAAAAAATGCATAATATTAAATAACTATACTTTAACAATTTTTTAAAATTATTTTTAAAATAAAACTAATTAACAAATATTAAATTTCATTTTATAACCATTAGAAGTTATTTTATTAATTTTAATTATTTAAAACTGTTAAAAATAATATATTAAATTATAAAAAATGTTGGCGAAAAATCAATTTTTTAATAACTGATTTTTGCAAGCAACTCTTAAAATATTTGTGGAAAACAATTGAGAAATTGGCGCTTTTTCAGCCGATTTCTCATAATGTAAGTAAAATGGGTCACTTATGCAAATAATATAGCATATAGGTTATGCAAGTAAATGTTGATTAAAAATAGGATATTTAGATAAAAGAGTCTACCTTAGTTCCTAGTTGCGTACGTTTAATATATCTGCTCTAGTTTTAAAAATAATGAGATAGGCTATACTTAGTTAAATTTCTCCATAATTAAGGAAAAGAAAATAAGAAGGCCAAATAAGTTAAAATAAACTTATGTACCTCCGCTTTTGGAGAAGTTAAAGTATATAAGTTGATTTTAACTTATAGGAGATGTTTAATTCATTTTACCTCCGTATTTTCTTTTCCCGTAAGTGCTTATGGAAAAGTTTATCCAAATATGACCTTAATGCAAAACTAGAAACATACATTTCTGCAAACTGTCTCCAAGGATACGCTTGAAATAAAAATAACACTATAACCTTTGCTTATGCGATGCATGGTCTTTTCATGGGCTAACAAAATAGCATCAGGATTGCACTTCTGGATAACTGAGAGACCTGTCATAAAGGGTGAAAATATTTTTGAAATGTAAATTTCTGAAGTACTAGAGAATGTCCATTACAGTCAGTAGCATACCAGAAAAGAGGAATAAGTGATGTTTCCATGGTGAATTTTAGTGCAGAACTAACAACGATAAAATTATATCTTTTGCTACTTCTTGGTTCTCATTTAGCTTTCTGGTGTAATAATGTAAAAGCGACTATTTATCATTACTAACTCACCATTCACCACTACCAATACTAGTAGCATAATCTACTTTAAAAAGCAGAAATCAACAAAGTTTAATTTAGACTCACCATCAACATGATCAAGATGATGATGTGTGAGAAAGACCACTAGTCGTCTTGGCAAAGCATTAACAACTTTCTCTAGCTGATAATTATGGAGTGACAAGTTCAGATTTAATTGATGAGGGAACCAAATTTCAAAAACCAAATCAGAAATTAACCAATAATAGGGGAGGGGAATTAAACATAAAAAGTATATCTCCATGCAAGTTCCTCAAGAATCACATGACTTACATCAGAGTAAGAAAAGTTTACAGTGATTAAACTCGAACAAATGACCTCTTTCTGATCAGTCAACTCAGTATGATCATGAATGAAGAAATTATTTTATCGAAAAAATAAAGTATGAAGAAATTATTAACTGAAATGCACATAGCATGAATATGGAATTAAAAACAGGATAAAAGATGACTCGAAGACCATAAAGATTTGGACTACATGCACAAGCTTGGATGTAATGTGAAGTATACCTCTCCATGGAATTCAGATAGGCATCCTGGATCAACTATTAGTGCATCTCCACTTGCAATAAAATTATTTTCCTCTGAATTATTCTGAACATTTTCAGGTGCAAAAACCACCAAATTTGTCGTGTGAAAAGGCTTTAATGTCCTACTTCTCATAGGTATAATTATAACACCAGGCGGGTACTCCTGAAAATGAAAACAAACTTCATTTTGCACCAGATTATAAACATAATGGCTTTGAAGAATAAAAAGACAGCTTCCTCTTTCTCCTTTCTTTGTACAGAAATATCAAGATGCAGCTATGATCTCGGACGAAATAGTTTTGAGTTGCTTAACATTAACAGTATGTGTGACTATTTTGGAGAATGCTTTTGCTCTTTTAACCCATAAGCACTTAACAAAGTGAAGGAGCAGATTTTCCAGTAGTGATATAGGAGGGCAGTGAAAATCTAGTAAACAAACTATACACCAAATCTCAATGCTAGAGCCTTGCCTCAGTATTAAAACAAGTTCAAAAAGTCATTTTCAGAGTGGGGGCCAGGGTGCGTTATTAATGCAATACCAACAAAAGGTGATATCATATCACTTTTGAATGAAAGACATGACAGCATTTGGAAAATTATATATTAACAAAGATTATCAGTCTCTGTTCATTTAATAAAATCTTTCAGAATAGCCACTGAAAACAAGCGGTTTCCAGTTTATTTTGAAATTATTGCCCTAATTTTAAAAAAGAAAAGCTTCTCCAGCATCTCAACTTCCGGATTTACTTAAAATTTGCAATTCCCCGTACCCAATAATATATGCTCCCACCAAGGAAATGGAAATTTAAAGAAAGAAAACCTGATAGTTTATGGCTGGTGGGACTTTCCACTTTGTAAAGAAAGATGATTCGTTTATGAGACCAACAACGATCAATGGTCCAACCCGATCTCCATGCGGTTTCATTTCCTGAATCCAGTTAAGACAGGTTCCGACAGACATCCATCTACATGAATCTGTGTAGATTTATAAACATCTAAAATGAATAAAAAAATGTTATTGACATAATACGGTATTAAAATGTAAAAATCAACACAAAAGATAGATTCACCGTGCATTAAAGTATACATTTGCATTAGAGAATGCGTTGCCATTCATTCAAACTACGTACGTTGCTAACAGAAAGTATGCTAAGGGCAAGAATTCTAATGGATAAAACATTTTCTTAGCAGAAGTCACTTTCATTTTTGTCCACCAGGACATCAATCACCCACCCTTCCACGCAAAAGAAAAGAAACAGATTGGCACATGAAATTGGAAACCTTCAAGCCACTCTCAGTATAAGATCAATGGCAAGCATCATACAGAACTGCTGTTGTGCAACCACGTAGAAGTAAAGCAGATGCTTCAGATATGCAGAATATTAAACCACTGAAGCATCTGCTAATCTGCCTATTTTTGTTTGCAGTTTATTGTCTGTACTAATCCCCAACTCACATACACACACATGTAAGAGAATTACTTTAGGAGATAATACTTGGTTATTGTGAGAAATAAGAACAACAAATATAAACCATCAAATGATTTCTGATTAGTTAAAACTAAAAGATAAATACACGACTTTTTAAAGTGATAAAGTGCAATGTTATCAGGCTTGGACTGTACCAAACTAGTATATTACTAATTAAACCACATGAATTGGTTTAACTGTAGTGCAGTGATTTATGTGACTATGTCTCGTGCTTGGTACAATGTTCAATCCTCCAAAGGAATATATTATATTAGACTATTACTTCAAGCCCATCTGTTTAACCCTAAATCTCTTTTCTAAGTATATCGCTGCACAACACACACAGCATCTTTTCCTATTCTTCATTGCACCATCATTCTTAATTCTTTCTCCCTCCCTTTACTTCATTCTGGCTTCTTCTCACTTCCTATTTCTTTTTTCTTCTTCTCCTGCATCTTCATTGCAACAATCTTTTGAAATACAAAGGAAATCTGGAAGCATCAACTCACAATTGATGGCATTTTGCCGTTATGAAGTGTTTGTATTTGGTATCCTCATCCTCAATTCTCATGTGGGTTTGTTGGCAGATGAATAAAGTCAGGATTGGTAACCAGATTTTGTGGTTTTGAGACAAATGAATAAGCTCAGTCACTGACTCGTGCCAGGGAATTTGGTTCACCTCTGATTTAATGACATCACAGCAGCTTGAAACCAAATCCGATTTGATAACTTAACCACCTCAGCCAAAGGTTTGGTTCCTGGTAGGACCAATCCAGGTTTAATATCACTAGTCATGTAACCACTGACTTTTAATCTTGATCATCCATGTATGGTTGTCTGATCCAAAGTTATGGTTCACATTCTTAAAATAAAAATTATTATCATTGGGTGAGCTCAAGTTACTATAATATAAGCTATATGAATTCTTACATTGGTAAATAGCATTTTAGCAAAAACTTGTAATCCTACTATCATAAGTATGTATACGTACATACATACATACATACATACATACATATATATATACATATATATATATATATATATATATATATATATATATAATGTATAAAAAAATCATTTCCCTATTCTTACAAAGTGATTGAAGTCTAACTCAATCCTACAAAACTAACTTGTAAAGTAAGGATTGTCTTCAATTATATATTGTATTTTTGCACTATCTCTTGTCAATGTAATGCGACACGTGGTTTTTTCTCAATATACCCCCTCACGTTCAACACTATTGGGTTTGGTACTCGTATAACATGGTGATTGACCCTTTTAATGGATCTAGGATAGACTTGATGCCATCTTACAAAGTAATTTATGCCTAATTCAACCTTAAAAAACTAATTTGTAAGATAAGGAGTCTTCACTTATATACTGTATTTTGAGACTATCCCTAGTCAATGTAAGACTTTAGCTTTCCCCAATAGTTATCAATTTATTAGAGTAAAAAAATTAAATATTTGACACAATAACAAGGACTTATAATTTAATGGTTGGAATAACAAACATCACATGCTATATAAATTTATTAATGAGTGAGAATGGATGAAAGTTGTAATCCCTCTCTACTTATCTATCTATATATGCATAAAGCCTTCAGTTCATTTCAGATAGAGTTAGAATTGAAGCAGAGTGATCATCTTAGCAGCATCTCTAAACTCATGCATATGTAAGCATATACCCAGTGAATAAACTATGCTGTTTTGTTAAATTATTTCTTATGCTGAGAATCAAGACTTTTAGCAAGGCATCCACAAATAAAAACAAAGGAACAGACGCAAACACACTTCACCTTTCCAATGCATTCAAGGTGAAATATTAGAGTTTCTTGCTTTGTCTTCCGAGTTCTGTCAAAAAGAAAAAAAAAATGCGCATTTTCCCAAACAGGACATTTTCTCGACAATCTAATTTAACAAAGGTGAGGGCTGAAATTGTCTTGGTCACCAGTTGTTGGTCTTAGCTTTGAATCCAGAAACAGTTTCTTTGCATATGCAAAGATTAGGCTGCCTACCATGACATGACTATCTCTTACACCTTCACATAGTGTGGAACCTTCTGGCAACAATGTTATTTTTTTAAATCAAATTTAAACAAAACAGAGCAACAGAAACTAACTGGACAGAGATAAACAAGCAAGCATCACCACCTTGAGGCAACCCGAGGCATGAGCACAGAACAAATTCAATAAAATCCCATTTCGTACATCACCTAAAAATAAATAATAACAGTAATGATGATGATGACGACAATCGACAAACATGAGAACAAGCAAACCTCTAGAATCTTTGTCCTCAGCCGCTACCAATTTTCCAACAACGAAGACTGTGTTAACCGGCAAATCAGGTCCAAATGCAGCTTCCTTTACATACTTATGGAACTTCCAACCTCCTCCTTCAACCGCCCCAAACCCTAGTTGTCCAAACACCTAATCGAGAAAACATTACACACGAATTCAACATCATCAAACTCGAAACATCCAAAATTTAAGAACATTACCTCGTTGAGAGCCAAACGGATGTCAAATTTCCTCGGATCGAAGTCCTCAGCATGCGATGCCGCAACTTCAACCAGAACCGGTGACTCTGACTCTGGTGGCAGCGGGTTTAACTGCGCCGAGGGCAAGTCCCAGAGATCAGAATCGACGAAAGAGTCGTATTCTTCGTCATGGAATTTGGGAGGGCGCGACTGCTTGAGGAGCAGAAACTCATCGTCCTTTGCAGGGTTTTCGATTATGACAGCGAGTCTGTGAGCTGCCATTGCCAAAGGAACTGAGAATGAATTGAGGGAGTGAAGTGAAGTCCCTGCTTCAAACAAAAAGCAGCTTACTTGGAGAAGTGTGTTATGAGCATTTATGGGCCACCCCTGGTGTGTGCAAAATTGTGGTTGAAGATTTAATTACGAGTTATTATGCATAACTTTTTGGAGCCAAGATTTCGTTGTACCTTAGTGAAAAAAATGTATCTAATCTTCATGTATGTATATATCTCGTATGTCAATCATACACTTGTGACGCTATCTACTATGAAAGTGGTTAACTTCCTGTAAAAATCTTGTGCAATGTAGTTTCACTTTGGACCACATGAAAGTGGTTAACTTTTAATGAGCAGGGAGAAGAAAAGAGGTACAAGTTGGTTGGAAATCAAGACAGACTTGAGCTATTTTGGACTATCCTCCTCTTCAATCACCGTCTTGAGGTTCTATCATGCAGGGAAGAACAGTGATTAGATCCTAAGTTTGAAGCAGTGTTCCATTTGGTTTACCAAACTGAAACACAACATTCTAGAAGAAAAAAAATCCATAATAGAAATAATAGCAGATTCCTTACATTTTAATAAAGTCAGAAGATGACAATCTTGTATTTCATTGTAGCATGAATCTTAGTAAAGGATGAAAACAAAACGGAGAAATAGGAATGAAAACCTAAAATTCTTGATTTTAATTGCTAATTTTACATGTTGTAAAAAAACTTCACCAATTTATAATAAATATGGTAATTTTATTAACTGTTTTCTTTTTATAAAAAAATTATTTATCACGTTCTAAAGTATATACTAAGTTAAAATATATTAAGTTATTCTGTATATTATATTTTACCACAATCATAATCAACAATTATTGAACAAGAAGTTTGTCTCAAATCATTAAAAATTATTGAACAAGAAGTTTGTCTCAAATTATTAAAAATTATTGAAAAGTAAGTCAAAAATAATAATATTGTACCATGGTCAATATCATGAAAAGTGAATTTTAGTGAACATACGATACAACTTTATGTTTACTTAGTTTTTATCATATTAAGATGTTCGCAATGGTGTTTTGAATGTAAAGTTTTAATAAATAAAACAAACATAAAAGGAGATAAGCAAAATAAAGATACAAGAACAGTATAAAACTTTTTTCAGTGAGCTAAAGTTAATAATACATCATATTTTTCATTTTTTTATAAGAAAAATTGATATCTACGTATTAAAAAAAATCGTGTATATATATAATGGATTTTTTATAGAAAATAAAGTTGTCGTAAGTTATAATTAGTTACAAATTTTAAAATTTGTAAGTAATTTTATAATGTATTATTTCTAAATTATGGGAAATTTTATATGAATATATCAATAAATAATTAGATATGGATATATCTATAAGTAGTTACTCATATATTCTTAAGAATGATTATGGATATTAGTAAGAAATTATGTATAAATATATTTGTATGTAATTATTTATTGATATATATATATATATATAATTGTTTATTAATACATTTATATATATATATATATATATATATATATATATATAATTGTTTATTGATATATTTATATGTAATTATTTATTGATATATTTATAAGAATTGATATATATAGGACAGGTTTATCTTTTATTTTTATTTTTACAATATTTTAATTAGATTTTAGTATTTATATGTATTATCTAACATTCATATACAATTAGGTGTTAGTGATTTTGGAAAAAAAAATACAACTTTATAAATTTATGTAAAGGATAATTGTTATTTTTTACTAGGTGAGTTAAATTATTGTGAGTTATTTTTTATTATTAGTATCATTATTCATTATAATTTTGCTTAGTTATTTTTATTCTACTTTATGCTATTGAGAAATAAATTAATAGTGATAAGGAAGTCATGTTTTATGGTTAGTCATTATTCTCATCCAAAATTAAAACTAGAGTAAAAATCCAATTTAGTATTAAACAATGTGTTAATGATTTTAAAATAAAATATTCACTAGGGTTAGAAATTTATGTAAAGGATAGCTGTGGTTTCTTAACATTTTTTTTCTCTACATTGAACAAATTTGTATGTTGAATAATTAAGTAATATTTCATAATCTATTCATAATAACGAGAATACTAGTAAAATATGGGCTACACATTATCAAAATTAAAATATATATTTATCTTACAAACTAATAAGATTTTATTTTATTACATGAAGTAGGTATTAGTTAAAAAGTGTCTATACTATAATAACAATAATGTCCACAAGAGAGTAAATCTCATAAATCAATAAAATAAATTCAAAGTTTAGGATAGTTGAAAATAATAAATATTATTATTATTAGGAGCGGAGAAAATTGTAACAAATTTTGAACAAAAAAATCTATTTATACCAAGATAAATAAATTTACACAAACATATTATTACACAAATGGTAAGAAAAAAAAATAAAGTAAAAATGGAACATACCCAATAAAATATCTTGAAGGTAGTGCGCCAGCACGACATGATAACATTGTCCTAGAAAGATTATGTAACCCCTAATTTAGTTTAATGTAAGATAGAATAACCCAACTTTGGAGTGACTATGGTCATTGGAAAAACAAATTTTGAAAAATTTAGGATTTGAGTTTTAGTGTTGGGAATGAAAAGGGGGCACACAAAGATTGATTTGAGAATGGAGTGTATATATAAATTGATTTGAGAATAAAAAATATAAGGAGAGACTTTTTTACAGATATAATATTATTATAAAAAAAAAAATATATATATATATATATATATAATAGAACCTCTCATCAATTTATTTAATCAATTGAATATTTTTCCTGTTGCACTTGGAATAAACCAAATTCCAACTTTAAATTTATCATTTTTTTAAATAAAAAAATTAAATAAAATATATAATTAAAAATAATAAAATTATATAAAAATATTAAAATAAAATTTTAATTTTAAAATTTAAATAATATTTATATATAAAATAATAAAAATAATATATTATTTAAATATATATTAAATTATTTAAATATATTTAAATAATTATTAAAAATATAAAATAATAATTTTTTATTATATATATATTTTTTTATTTATTTATTTTTGAATAGAAAAATTAAAATTTATATTTTTTTTAATTATATGAATTATTTAAGTTATAATTTTAGAAAAAATTGATAAATTTAATATATAAAATATTAAAAGTAAAATTAAAAATAAGTTATTAATAGCAAAATAAAAATTATAGAACATGATATTAAAGAAAAATAAACTTATTGAAATAGAAATAAATGATAAAACATACCTTGTAATTGAAAAATGATTAATTATAAAAGACATGCATAGAAATTGAAATGACTTAAATGAAAATGAATTAAAAGAGCTATATTGAAATTAATTTACAATATTTCTAATTTGGTATATCTTTCTCTTCTTTTGTTGTCAATGTAACTACTATCTCTAGCATCTCTTTGAATTTCTTCAAGGGTTATTACATAGCGCAGATCAATAGTTTCAATAAATAATTCAATATTTCTCCATGTTTGGTCACATTGCATGCTTCTATGTATTGTTTTATACTTTTTCCATCTTCTAATCATTTGTTGCACATTAGAATCAGTTTTGATTTCTATAGAGTCGTGACATAGTTTATTGTTGATAACTTGGATTGGACGTCGATAGTTAATCTTTGTTATTTGTTTACGGCCTCCATAATCCAGTATTTCACTAATTCTTTAAAAAAATTGGTTGAAAGACCAATTGTGTTTAACTACCATTTTCCTTGGATAAAAGCTTGTGTAAATAAGTCCAAAACCATATGGAGATTCCTTGATGGTAGCACGCTGGAGAGGTCCAACGAAATAAAGTATGACTTTTGTAGAAGTAATGTGTTAATTGTTTGATGAAGAGGTTGTGGGAGGTGGGTTTAGAAGCATGATCATTTGTTCAGGTGTTCTGACAAATATGACATTAAATTCAATTACTGTATCTATAGAAAATTGAGACTTCCAAGTAAGCATATGTGCTACATGAACATCAGTTAATATAGGAATGATATCATATGTTAGTAAATTTTCACCGTTCAGATTTGGTTTACAATAATACAGCTTTCTGAATGTTGTCTCATGAGGAAGAGCTAGAATAATACATATTTTTTGTTTCAGCTCCATGAAGGTACACTGGTATGGGATTCGAAATAAATTAGGCGATGGACCATGGAAGCTTACACCTTGTTTGTTGTGTACAATTTCACCATTTGCAAAGATAGCAGCTAGGTAAGAATTTGTGAAATGTTGACTATTGGTGATGTCAAACTCTTCCATCTGAAGATTTTTTAGAGAATGAGAATGATAATGAGAATTTTTATATTTCGTAGTTGTAGTGCATTTGTTGAAAGATGTAATGTATGTTATTTGACAAATGATAGGAAAGGTGAATAGAAAATGTGGATGGTGGAGATTTAGGTTATGTAATTGAACAATTGAGATTCATTGTTCGTTTCCCTAAGCATTGTTAATGTGTCGCAGTCCTTATCAGAGTGATGACAAAAGTGGTCAAAAAGTTTTGCATGAATAAAGACTAAGCAGTATTTATGTGTTATAGTTTGTATCAAAGTGATGATAAAAATGGTGAAAAAGCTAGGTTGGTGATTGTGACTAAACATTATTGATGTGTCACAGTCTTTATTAAAGTGATAAGAAAATTTGTCAAAAAATTTTGTTGGTGATTGTGACTAAACAGTATTGATGTGTCACAGTCTATATTAGAATGATAAAGAGTAAGCATTATTCATGTTGATTAGATTAGTTTAAGGTTTAGAGTTGACATGAAAGACGTTAACTAAAACTTCATTAATAACATTGATCTAAACATCATAGATGAAACAAAATAATTTCTAAACAACATAAATTAACTACGTGAAGTAGATGCACGAGTAATGTTGGGACATGTTTTCTTGGTATGACCAGGGGTATGACAATATGAACAATTTTTTACACGACCATATTGTTCTATAATGT